GATTTAGCACAGCTCCTGCTCACTGTGTCAGGATTATTCTTGATCTTTGAAAAGCCTGAATGCCAATTATGTATTGCTTTTCTCAATAATGCATTAGTTAAGGACTGTAAACTTTAGAACACCATTAAAAATGTACTTGTTATTAGAATTCAAATAGTATTAGTATCAACTAAGGTCAGTTGGAAAGAAATACGTGAGTGAAATTGTGTTAGCTTTTCTATTCTTCTCTCTTATTGAGGATGGAATTCAGCCAGTGAGATAGGAGCAGTGATATCAGAGGCATGAAATTGTGGTGGGTTTGGACAGGAGGTGAGGGGGTCTGTAGCCAGTCTACTGGCTGACTATTCCTGGCTCCACAGACCCCTCCAGAGAAATGATAGTCTGGCTTCTAGATTTTAAATTTTTTTTTTATTTAACTGTGTAGTCCATTGAGAATCTGAATGGTGATTTGGCAAGCACTGGGAGATGGACGTGTGGCACAATGAACATTCCAGTGGGGAACTAGTGTGCAAGTTAATGTTGGAAAAATTATTTTGCCAGGGCCTGTGAACTCTTAGTTTTTCCACCGTGGCCATCAGCTCCGAATCTTTATTACCATAGTTGAAAACTCTTGGTTATCTAGACCTAAAGACAGTAGAATCCCCATTTTTTCCCTTCTTTTCTATTTCATTAGTGAAGTCTAGTGGATTCCACCTCTCCTGCCACTGCAGAGCCCTGTAGAGTACAGAAGCAGCACCTCAATTAAATATGAAATATCAAGATAAATGTCTGAATAAAATATCCAGGCCTCAGACAAACTTCCAAACTTGCTTGTCAGCAGTGAAATGCCATTAAATCCTCTAGGAACTCATTAATAGATTAACATTTGGAAGAGTAATTACAGCTAGATTAGAACTCAGAATAAAGGAAAATCCGGCAGCATCATTTCTCTAAACTCTTGACACAAAATGAAGATCAATACTATAAAAAAAATCAGAGGTAAGGAATTAAGGTCAAGATGATTATGTCAAAAATAGGTAAGCTGTTCATATATATTTCAAATAAAACTAGTGTCAATGCAACTGTTATGTAGTGTTTCATATTATTTGTGTGGAATACTACCTCACAGGGGATAGAGAAGGGATATTGAGGAGAAATCAAGGATGTATCTGGAAATTGGATGAGTTGATGACTTCAGTGCCGTTAACCTAAATCACATCTAAAATTAACAATGTCAAGCTTTGTAGCTACATTTTCTGAGCCAAAGCAAGACACTGATCTCTAGTGAGACAGAAATATATTACCCTTCAAAAGGATTAAATACTGCAAAAGTCTTTTTTGAGAATTTATGTTACAGCTCTGTAAAGGGAAGAGAAAAGAGTAAGATAAAGTAGGTACTATAGTTAGATAAATAGGTGAGATCTTGAGAAATGTTTTAATTTTTCACAAAATTCTCACAATCTGTAAATTATATCTATATAATTCATTACATTATAACCTGGAATATGAATCTTGCAAATTTATGAAACGGGAAGAAGTATAAATGGGGAAAATATGACTTTATTTAAGAATGCTTCTCTATTACTGTGAGTGTACCTACTGTAGAACCAGGCTGCACAGCAGTCTGCCAGTGGGAACCGAGCTATTTTCAAGAGGAACAAAAATAAAGTGCATGAAAAATAGCAGGGATGTAAAGTACATAGATGACAAATAAAATGAAGTCATCAACGTGTGAAAAAAAATAATAAAGTTAAGGTTTTAGATTTGCAATTTTCCTATTTAAATGCCCTCATTGATTTGATACAAATACTGTTAACCCTGTGTTTGGAAAATGGTGAGGACATTATCACTTGTGTTCTCATTTGTAATAAAATAGATTAACTTGCTGTGAAATTTTAACTAGGCTGAGACACAACAGTAGCTACCTAATGAACCAGAGCACATTGCTGTTAAGTAGCTAAATAGATGCATACTGATTACAGGACTGAAAAATGGATCTGTTTACTTGCAAAAAAAGTCTGTTCATAGTGTTATTCATTATAGCAGGGGAAATTCAGCATTACGTTTCCACACAAACATTTAGAACTAGTTTCTCCATCCATATGCAATCTTTCAGGAGGATACTCTATCCTCATTTGTAGTACATATGACACAGAAAAAATCTCAGCTCCTTTGTTGCTGATAGGGAAAAGTATCTTCCCTTTGTATGTAAATTTTTGTGACTGGTGAGACTTTAGATGACATAATCAAGTAATTCTCTTAGAAAGTGGTTCACTGTGTGATTAAGAATGACATTATTATTTGACACTTTTATTTCTGCCTGAACATTTCAAACCAAGACCCTGAGTTTGAAGGCAAATTACGTGAAGCAGAGATTATTTTATAGCAAGAGAAAATGGGAAATACAGTTACCAGAAGGAGCTGGAATACTTTGCTTTTCCAAATCATCAGCTTTTGAATTACTCAGATAACTCCCATTTAAGATGACATCTATGGCTGTTTGTGTGGTATCTAAGTGTTAATTCCTAGTCATATTTGCTCATAGGTTTTTTTTTGCAGAACAGTTGGCATGTCCTCTCCTTGGCTATTCATTTTCATGGTTGCAGTAGACAATGAAATTTACTTAAACTAGGTACTCTTCTGTAAAAGGAGTCATTTCAAAATGATACCTTAATTGTAAATTGAGTACTCTGTGGTAAAAAGAGAGGAAATGGTGCCAAAGAGGACTGTTAAAACTGAAAGCCAAGCAAGTAAAATTACAGTCAGAGGTATAGCCTGCTAGCAGTAACCTATTTGGAAGCTATTATTTACACAAAGATAAAAGGCACATAGTATTAATAAGGGATTGCATGGATATGATTCATCATTTATTTAGGAGAATACTTCTTGGGGTAGGAACGTGACTTTTAAAAGTGACTTAATGAGCAGCCCATCCACAGAGTAAGTTGTGACTCTTTCATTCTGCTCATCTCAGCAACCTCCAAACCCACTCTTGGGGATGGAGAATGAGAAAGCACAGGAGACTTTAAGATCAGTGACTTTGACTTTTTTCCCGCAGAATCTGAAACTTTGTTTAAAACAATTCAGTTTTCAAAATTTTAAGAGCTTGTGACTCAACTTAATAGACTCATACCTGTTAAAACTTGGTAAACATTTTTAATTAGCATTCAAAAACACCGCAATTAAAAGTCTCCCTTTAAGATTTATTAGTTATTGTATGTTCATTAAATACCAGATAATTAGTGAAAACAGATCCATTGAGGATTAACAGCTATGTAACAGATACACATCTGTTACATGATTTTGAGGCTCAGTTGTTATTTAATGTACAATAGCTGTCCCATTAAACCCACATTCAGTGCTACGTTTTCAGCTGGTGTGACTGGAATAGGCAAGTGCCACCCCCTCACTATTAGGAGGATCCAATCTCACATTCCCTTTGCATCATTCTCCAGCGTGTCTGTAAATACAAAGATGAGTGTGGTTTGGAGAGGTGGTTTTAATGGCTAACAGAATATTCTTAAAATGTCACTTACTGCCAGTGCAATTAATGAATCACCTCCACAGGAGATGAACAGAAGCTATTGTGCTGGCTATTTATAGTGGAAAAACTATGAGAATCTACCATTCTTTTCCTAAAGCCTTAGTATTGATTTAGGATACTGTCTAGCAAAACAAAAAAACATAAAAAATGCAGATGCCATTGAGTTTATTTTCAAAAGCACACAGTAAATCGCCACCAAGTAGCCAGAGTCTGTGCTCCTAATGGAAAATCTTTGAGAAAGGGAAAAAAATTGAAGTTCCTGTGAGACAACTTCCCCAGATTACACTGTAATTGTGATGTTAATGAGGTGGGGGCAAGAGGATCTCCCTTTTAAAAAAAAAAAAAAAAAAAAAATCTCAGTTCTGAGTTTCCACAAGAAACTTCTGATTGCCAGGGATGAGGGCAACTCCAAAGATGCAGTTTTTGGAATTCTGTAAATTGAAACATCTCCTTTTTCATGTCTCTCCATTGGATCTAGACTTTCAAGGACTTGTAACAGAGGATTTAAAACATAGAAGGGATTTTAAAATAAGGATATGTAGAGTATCTCAGGCCATGATCTGTCCCTTCTAAAAGATTCACGGTTTTTGTTTGCCCTGGGAACAGGAATGAAGAGTGCTGGAATTGTGAATTAATTCAGAAGAATTATACGTGTGGAATCACTGGGTTGGAAGGGATCTCAAGTGGTCACATAATCAATTACTTGCCTTCCTCAAGACAGGATGAATTTTTACTTTTACCATGCTTGTCTAGCCTGTTCCTAGAGGTTTTTACTGATGAAAATTCCACAGCATCTTCAGGCAGTCTGCAAGTGTAGATACACAGAAGTGCAGAATTTCATTTTGCTAGTTAGTTATAATTTCATATCCTTTTTTTCTCCTTAAAGTACTACATATACTTAAATTAGAGGCTACTGTCAAAGTTTTTTTGTGCAAATACACATAAAATTTTTCAAGCACATTCTTGTTTGTGTTAGCCCGTGGTGCTTTTCATACAAGAGTGACATTCTTACCAGTACCACAGTGTCTAAAATTTGTCTGAGTGCTACCATGGGAAGATATTTATTCAGCTACAGATTCTAGTGAGTTTACAAATTTCACCATGTTTAGTGACAGTTTAGTCCAAATCTAAATTATTTATTTGAAATATGACTCCTATATTTTAATTTTACTATGTGTAAATTAAAAGCGATTTGTGAAAACAACATGAAAGAACATTTTTCATGTTCTGATGTGTGAAAATGTCAGAAAATAAAAAGTTACCAAGAAAAGAAGAGATGGCAAATGCCATGTCACAACTGAAAGGGTGAAGCTGGGCCCAGATACATTGTGGGGACTGCTCTTTCCATGTGAAATCTGTTCATGACTAGCTCAGAGACCCTTTGTTACTGGTATTTTAGTCAACTTCATGTTTTCGTTGAACTGCAGTGAGGTTCCTGAATCAACTTGCACAGACCTTGTTTTATTTCTCTTTCAAGGAAAGGATTCAAGACAGCCCTTCCCCAGCTCCATCTCTAGAAGACAGTCAGCGGCCTGGGAGCCACGCGTCCTCCCATCAGAGCAGCAGCGTGTCCAGCTCCCCATCCCAGCTGGACAACACACCAGACAGAATTGGTTAGTGCTCTGCAGCCTCACACCCCTCACGGTTACTGACCTCAAGAGTTCTAGGAGTTTGTTGAAGCAAATATTTCCTTGCTGGGAAACTCAGGCAAGCACTCACTTGCTAAGACCCAGGCAGTTCATCACTGTGTGGTTGCTCTTGCTTGGTTCATCGCTATGCAGAGCCCAGCCCCTCAGGTTCATTCTGTGCCAGTATCCACCCATGCACAGAAGATGCCACTCTTTCTCTGTGATGACCAACTTCTCTTGCATGCTGGAGTAAGAAAGTGCCTCTGAAGGCACCTGGAATTGAAAAATAGCAAGATAGTTTTTTCTTCACATGCATGTCAGAGAAGTCGCAGATTATGTGGTGGATTTTCCGTTCCAAAAACCTCCTCCTGCCCACGCCTTCCCTCATCACCACGAGGCTGAGGCCTTTCTGATTTTTTTGGGTCTCTGCCACAGCTTTCACAGCCTGTGCTTTATCGATCTTGTGTTTAAAATGCTAATTCAGTCTGGAGGAAGTCGAGGTCCTATTCTTGGTGCTTCCAAGAGGGATCTAGGGCAAGTCAATTAACATCTCTTCACGTCAGTGTGTGTCAACACTGTTGTCTTCACAGTGACTGGAGCCAATGCAGGCTTTGCTGAGCTAGACTTCAACTACAAAAACAGTGCAGTCCATGGAAGTCAGTGTAGGCTTCCCTCCCATCAAATAACTGCTCAGCTGCTTGCTGGGATTTTGCAGTTTTGACTCTGGTCCGTGGTACTACGTAGCACAGTTGGTTCTACACAAACAAGTCAACAGAACCTGAGCTATTTTACTTAAACCTATGCACACACAGATTCCCTTCATCTTTTTCACATGTAAAATAGGGCTAGAAATACACCTGGTAAGAAATGTAACTTCCTATAGCAGCAGTGCAGAAGGAACTTTTGTCCTCATCATAGCTTTTGAAAGATAACTTGTTTTATTAATAGTAGAAACACCCACTGCAAACCTCTGCGCTCCAGAAATGTTGCTGAAAGTTTTTTTCATGAGAACTAGATTTTATTTGTGTTGAACAAAACATTTCTCTGTGTTGAAGTCTAATGCTTCCTGTTGTAAGTGTACAAGTATATGGTTTGTATTTGTATAGATATGTTTCTTCTACAGTGTCCTCACTGGAATGACTCTAAGTTCTGTAATTGATTAATTGCAGAGAGGGGAATATTTTAATCAAACAAGAACAAAGACAATAGGCATTCTGAAATCATAAACTTAAAGCCTGTCACTGATTTTGCAAGTATAAGTAAAGAATTTCTTTCAACACTACAGCTTATTGGGTTTTTGCCATCATCTATCAATTTGGGTTACTATCTGTCAATCTGTATTTTTTATTAAGCTTGCTACTTTATAGATAATTACTAATACTTAAATCCTTAAATGTATTTTTCTCCAAAATGATTTCTGTGAAGTACTTTTCTAATTAGTTAATTTGAGCATTTCATAAGAAATTACATTCATCTCAGTAGTAATTTGGGTTCTATCTTACTATCTTTTTTTAATCAACTTGAGCAAATGTGCTTTTGCTGCATATTTCACTTGGCTCTAAGTGCTGAACTGGGACAGTGAAATGGTTGACTATGGACAACAGAAGTGGTCAATTGCTTTAGAACTTGTATGAATACATATTAAAATAACAAAATATTGACAAAAAAAGAAATATCACATAATATTTTCCCCTCTTCTGCATTTTTTTAGAGACTGCTCTATAACTGTGCCCTCTTTTCTTTTGTTTTTTAGCTATGCTGACCAACAGCAGGGAAGGAGAACTCGTCGATCAAGAAACTGGGACCAGCCTAAAAAAAATACAAAAGGAGAAAGGTAAAATCAGAGACTGTTTTCCATGTCAGGCATTTAATTACCCTAATTATGTGTTTTATTCCTTTTTCTAGTATTCTGCATATTCAATGGCATTATATTATAAATTTAAGAGAGCTAAATGCCTAATTGCAATGAATAATGTATCCAGTGATTTACATGATGTTCTTCTTAGGAAGTGTAAACAATCAGATCTTTGCTCCTCTCTGTTGCTATACTGTGGGACTAATATTTTGCCATTCTTTTGACTCAATTATATATGAAGTTCTAGCAAATATTTAGTTAGTCACATGGTATTGTTCCTTTACCTCTGGGGGATGTGTGTGCAGGCTGCTCTAATGCTGATCCATAGGTGAGGGAAATAAGCCATTTTTTGTGTCTAATAGTATTCCATGACCCCACAAGTGAGAGGCAGCAGGGGAAGAAGTGATGTTTGGCCTGTAGTGATGGTCCTGCAGGCAGGGAAGGGTCTCCCTGCAGTGACTGTTGGGTGTGCACAGGTAAGCCCTGGGGAAGTGTTGTAGTGCTGGGGGGCACAGGGCATCTGTGGCTGCACACGAAGAACAAGCCATTTGGTTGCCTTGCAAATACAACCACCAAAAAAAATCACTTGAATGGATGAGAGGTCAATTCTGGCAGTAAGCAGAGAAGGCATCACACAGAAGGAGTGCCTGCAGAACACAGATCATGAGATAGATTTGAAGAAAGAAGAGAAATCTGAAGGTAAGTAAATACAGGAAAAATGCTACAAAGGCATATACTGAAGGAGGTCTTAAGGTTTCAGAGTGAAAAAGGTGTGAAGGAAAAGAAAGAGAAGGAAGTGACCAAAAGAGGAGACAACATGAGCTAAATGTACTTAAGTCCACTGTAAATGTGAACTTTTCATCATAAATGAAAACACCAGCTGATTTATTGTGGTGATTTTAATGTATTTTCTGAGAAAACTAAAAAGATAGATATACTTGGAAGAGCTTTTGGAGGCTCTGCGTGCCCTGTGGTTCCAGAGTTACATAAAATTATTTGAGCAGATTCCTGATTCTGTAGTATCAGCTCTATTCCTTAGACATCTGTGACTGATGCAGTCATGGGGAGGAAGAGCCTGGAACTTCCTCCTTATATTTTGTATTTTTGTACTCTACTCTCTTTTTGAAAGCAGAAGAAGCTGTTTTCTATTCACTGGTTTCTCTAGGCATTTAAGCACTTTCCTCAGGAACCCCAAAAGAGCCCTTTCGTGCCATTCTGAGGTAATTTTCTGTCTGGCTCATCATGCTTAAATCCTTCCCTCTTGCCTGCTGTTGGCATTTATGAACCAACACCAGAGGCTAAACAGTTATCAACCATACCTTCATTCCTAAGATTAAAAAAATTAAATTTCTGTAGTAATTACACAGGTATGTCATTTAAACCTGGAAACTGTAGTTGGTTTTCATTTTGTTGAGCTATGCATGGTTTCTTGCCACATGCTTAGTCTTTCAGCAGAACAATTCAATGTCCTATGGGGTTTGAAGATGCAAATCATGTATTTATTGGTAGTAGCACTCCTGTCACTCAAGATAGATGGAGGAGGGTACAGTTTAAGAATCAGAAAAGACAATTCAGAAATCCCCAAAAGCATGAAAATAATTTAAACCTTACCACCTGTGAACCTAATTCCCAGAGTCCTGTAAGCATTGAATGTTCCTTCTAACAGGTCTGAAATCACAAAGATCTGATGCTAACATTCTGTGTACCATAATTCACCTTAAGATTAAAGTTGTACAGGTTTATTCATTCGCTGGTCTGTATTTTTGCATAGTATTATCTTTCTTTGATTAGGTACTGAGAAATTTCTCTTGATAGGTGTGCTACTCCTGCATGCACTTAAGGGGGTGGGGGGTATTTTGGATGAACATTGTGTTCAGATTAACCTGCATCAGAAAAAAGTGCTTCAAAATCATGAGATGTTTTAAATTACCATTTTAAACTTGGAAAATGCACTTTAAATCCAGTTGGTTTGCACAGGTCAACATGAGAATGAGAAAATGCTTCTTTTTGTCAAGGAAAGAAGTAATTTTCAAGTAATGCCACAGCTCCAGAACCAAAGCCCTTTAATGACATTCCAGTGGGACAGATGCTGATATTTTGAAGGCAGCAACATTGTATATCCAACAATTCCAAGATGGTTTTGGCTTTGGCAGTGAGACAGACCTGTTGTACAGGGTGCAAGCACCTGATATCTGATGGACTGCACCAGTAGGGCAGGGTCAATACTCTGCTTCTGAAAATCCCCAGCCAGTGTGCTGGGCCCTCCTGGCACCCCATGGTGTTGTTCCTCAATGATTGGTCTCACTCCTGTACAGCAGATTCTGTCTTCCTAATACTGTTGTTATTCTGTTGTCTATGAACACTTTGGTCTGTGGTGTACCTCAGATATGTAGAATGTTTTTCATAATCAGATGTGGACAGTCACTGAAGAAT